GATTTGTATGCGTTGTTGGTTGCTGTGGCTGAAGGTGTGCCAGATATCTGTTCTAAAATAAGGAACTAACATCTGAGCTCTGAATGTTTGCCTGGATAGAGTAAAATGAAAATGTTTTTGCTTTTTCATTTTGTTTCTTTTTCTTTAGATCTTGTTTAGTGTGAATTGTCACAATATTCCCTGTTGAAAAAACCAGCATATGCTGGTTAGGTATGTTTTGAAGCATGGCTGCTGGTTTGAGCTGGTTTAAGTTGGTCCTTAGCTAGTCATGAGCTGGTTTAAGCTGGTCCTTAGCTGGTCATGTGCTGGTCCTAAGCTGGTTCTAAGCAACTACCTCCTGCTCAAGACCAGCTTAGGATCAGCACATGACCAGCTCAAACCAACAGCCACGCTTCAAAACATACCTAACCAGGATATGCTGTTTTTTTTTTCAACAGGGTTGGCAGATATTGCATAGTTAAGATTACTGTTTTAGAGAATGTTTGCATAAGAATAGTTTTGCTATCATGAACACTGATTCTGTACAGATTACAGGAATACTTTACACAAAAAAAATATTATTCTCTCACCCTCATGTTGTTGCAAACCTATAAGGCTTTGAGTTTTTTCTTCATCTGTTCATGTCTGTATCATGAAAGTCAACTATTTTAAGCTCCAAAATAGACATAAAGGTTGCGATAACACTTTGTATTAAGAACATATAAAAATGTAAGCCTTTATGGACTTTCAAATCAAATCATTGATCAGTGCATCCACACAAAGACCACATGGTCCTTAAACAACAACTACTGTCAAACCTTATTGGTTCTTGGTGATGTGAGAGAGAAAAAATGATGATATTGACTTTAATATTATGGACAAAAACAAGTAATATGTTCTTTAAAATATCTATAATGTCCAGGCCGCAGACACAGTTCCAGATTTTAAAGTTTGTTTTCCTACTGTGACCTCTGAAATTATATGACCTCTTAGTTTTTCCAACCATAGTATAATAAATATTTTCCATATAATATTCTATGTCTCAAGATATTTATACTTTTCCATAACCCACTCTTACTGTTGGTGTTATGGATGGCCGGACACACAATGTTACAGTTAGACGGATAAAGCGTTACTCAAGGACACTGAATCAGAGACCCAATTTTACTAGCCGATATACTGAGACACAGTTGACTGGATTCAAAAGCTTCCGCGAGTTTCACAATGTAAATAAATACTGCAAGCAAAAACATGCATTTCTGTTCTCAGCTGTGGCGAATGACAAAACAGGAAGAAAGTAGGACCACAAGGAACCACTTTTTTATGATAATTGAAAAAAGTTACTTACTCTGTCTTTCAAGCAATATGCAACTTTAAATATATGTTAAAAAATCTGTGGTCAGTAAGTTCCTAAAGGACCATGTAACACTAAAGACTGAAGTAATGATGCTGAAATGACAGCAGCTTTGCTATTACTGGAATAAATTACATTTTAAAATGTATTCAGATAGAAAACAAATTTCAGTAATATTACATATCAATATTTCATATCTTTTTTTTTTTTTGATCATATAAATTCAGCCTTAATCAACACAAGACTTTTTTCAAAAACATTGAAAAAACCTACAAACCTCACATTTTTTAACATAAAATGTATGCTATGTATTTTATGTCAAACTGGCTTTAAATTTAATAATACACCATCATAAAGCTGTTTTGCAAGATTTAAATTCCCACATAATTTCAACAGGAAAGTAAATATGTTTTTCCCCCTCTCTCATAGATCAGTTTATTTCAACTAAAAGCATTTGTTGTCATTCTCAATAAGTATTTGTGGCCCCACAAAAAAGTGGGAGAAAGCCAGAGAACGAGAGAGTAAAGCTTCGAGCCAAAGCTTGGCCAAAGGGCAGAAGCTCCAGTAATCCCTGGATCATGGTCTGAAACACCTCTTCCTTTCACACACTGGCTCGTCTGGATGCCAGTACAGGCTGTTCTTTGCAGCAGAGCGATCTGTGTCAAAGGGCACCGTCGTCTCACTGAAAAAGGATAGCTGTGCCAAAAGGAGTTTGTTAAGAAGGCCAGGTAGTGTGAGACTCTGCCAGGTGAAGAGGCCACGGTCGGGAACACTCTCACAGTGGCTTTGTTGTGTTTTTAGCATGGCCTCGCTGTCATGTTCAGAGCGTTAGATGTAATTTAAAGACATTTGCTGTTCAGCAGCTGTGTAATGGTGGTATTGGATAGAAGAAGGTCAGCATAAAACTATTAACTGTCAACTGCCAAGAGAGCGTCGAGTCTTTAAAAGAGTCTGGTACATTATACTGGTCACATACAGACTCTGACTTTTTATTTCACATATTTTCCACTCTCTTTTACTGTCCTTTACTCAACATCTAATCTCTTTTTCTCTGTCCTTTTTATTGTTCGACTCCATTGTACTCTTGTTTGTGCTTGTGTTAAGTTGTTTTTGGGAGTTTTATCTGTCAGTTTATTCCCCACTGCTTACCAAGACACTCCAGATGAATGAATAGGTCAACTCAGCTGATATAAAGGGATTCACTAAGAATTTATTAATTCTACAAAAGATGCAAGCACACACACACACACACACGTTTGTGTGTGTGTGTGTGTGTGTGTGTGTGTGTGTGTGTGTGTGTGTGTGTGTGTGTGTGTGTGTGTGTGTGTGTGTGTGTACAGGTATATATGGTTTATGAGGACACTTCCTGTGTCCCCGTAAAACAAAAGGCTTAAAAAACATACAAAACGGTGTTTTATGAAATTCAAAAATTTGCAGCAGTTTCCTGTGAGGGGTAGGTTTAGGGTTAGGATTGGGTTAGTGGATGGAAAATATCATTTGGTCAGCATAAAAGTAATAAAAGTATATGGAAAGTCCCCACAATTCACAGAAACACACACACACAGATAATTACTTCTGAATGCATGGTAGTGAAGGATGCATTATTTATTTATTTATTTTACTCATTTTATTTTATTTTACTTATTATATGTGATTCATGATCATTATAATTTATTCTTATTATTAATCAAGTTGATTGTAATTTAGTTATTTATTATTATTTATGATTTATTCTTATTTTTCTTAGATAGTTTTCTTATATTCTTGTTCTTTTAGCCTCTTTCTTGGAAATGTAAATAGTCAAGGTGATGGTGTGCATGTAACAGTTCTGTAAAAATGTACTTATAAAAATAGCAACATTTTATTTATATTTATAAAAAAGAAAAATATTTTGACAGCCAAACCCTGGTGATCTAAAATATATACCTGAAGTACCTCCTGAGATTTTAAGTTAATTTTCCAATAATTTAACGAAGCATTTTTGTGTTCACAGTTTTCAGTTACATGGAAAACAAATGAAAAAGAAATACAATTCAAGTGTTTTATTTTGGTTGCTTTTATTTTTAAATTATTTATTGTAATTTAACATTTTCAATAGCTGTTTTCTATTTCAATATATTTTAAAATGCTATTTATTACTGTGATGGCAAAGCTGAATTTTCAGCAGCCATTACTTCACTGTACTTGATTGTTTTAATTGATTTATTTAGAATTTTTATGATTTAATTAATTATTAGCTTTTCTTCAGCTCACAAGCCCTAGATTGATAAACCATGCTTGATACAAAGGCAATGAAATCCATAAATGTCCAAAATACTCACCGGGCAACAACCAACAAGCCATTTCGCATTATTTGCACATTAGCTATGTTTACTATTTGTAGTAAACACAGACCATAAGTTCCTTCCTCCGTGCATTTGTTCGCTGTAGAAGTAATAAGAGGCAGTAGAGATAGGAATAGGTGGTTTAAAAACAATGACTCAAAATGTATATTCTCAGTGGTTGAATACTGCACACTCCTAACTAAAACTCACTAATGCCCAATGTTTATTCATCTCACTCTCCCTTTGTCCTGCAGTGCTTTGAAGGCCTTGGTTGTAATTTTTTAAACACATCTTCCATGCTTCCTCCTCCCGAGGCTGCTGCTTTATCGTCGTAAACCCCGTTATATATGACTGCTTTCTTTAGGACGAATCCACACAGAGAGGGGGAGTGATCGCAGATGTACTTGAGCATCGCTTTGCATTACTGATGCAGATGTCTTCTCTGTATCAGAAATCCGTTCAGGGCTTCCAGCTTGCCAGACAAACGTCTCTTTTTATCTTTTTTCTAAGTTCAAGGAAAGTTCAGCGTCTTTTGTTTTCTTCCTTCCTGACTGCCGGAAAGTCAACAACAGTGTATTTCGGGGGTTGTTTAGATGTCATGATTCATTTTTGGTGTTTTAGATGAGAGCTTGTGTTACATGGTTGTTTAAGAGTCATTGACCTAAATGCATTTGTGAATGCTGTTTGTGCATATTCATAGTATTGTAATTTTATATTTCCATTTCACTTTATGAAACATTTAAACTGTTAATATCATTTTTTTGTCAATATCACACACCTCTAATTTATGTTATTTAATTGATATAATAATTTATTGATAATAATTGTTTAAATTAATATTTTTGGTGTTTTAGATGAGAGCTTGTGTTACATGGTTGTTTAAGAGTCATTGACCTAAATGCATTTGTGAATGCTGTTTGTGCATATTCATAGTATTGTAATTTTATATTTCCATTTCACTTTATGAAACATTTAAACTGTTTTTTTTTTTTTTTTTTTTTGCTGCCATGCTACAGGTGTTGCATTTTCCCAGCCATGCAAAACTAATTTGCTTTACACATCACAAAACATGACACAATCTTCTGTACTACCATTTAAATGTTTTTGGATGATAAGATTTTTTTTTAAATGCTTTTAAAAGACATCTGTTATGCTCACCAGAGCTGCATTTATATATTCAGAAATCTAAAATAATTCTAATATAATTCTTATATAAAAATGTCATTTATTCCTCTGATGGCAAAGCTGATTTTTCATCAGCCATTACTCCAGTCTTGAAAATTTCAGAAATAATTCTAATATGCTGATTATATGTTATATGTTAATATATATTTGTGGAAACCATGACACATTTTCAGGCCTTTTTGATGAACGTAAAGTTCAAAAGAGCAACATTTATTTGAAAAAGAAATTGTTTCTTGAATTATAAATGCCTTTACTGTCACTTTTGATTGATATAATGAGTCATTGCTAAAAAAAAATATTTCTTAAAAAAACCTGATCCCAAACTTTTGAATAGTAGTGTGGCTAATGGGATTATAATCAATTATAATGGCCTTTGTTCATTTCAAGCTGACATTTGTAAGGTTTTTTATGTGTTAAATGGAAATATTTGTAAGAATTGCTGATGTATTTGTAATTGATATGGCAAATGCAAATGCAAATTTCATGTTTCATTTCAGCTTCTTAGGGACAAAAAGAGCAAATTAAATTGATTTGAATCTTTTTTCCCCCCCTGAATCACCACTTTTGAAATGTTCCTTTGAAGGACAGGAGGGTCACACATTTTTAATGGAGTGAAAGCTTCCACAGATATCTCCTATCTTTCTCTTTGTTCGCCTCTCTAACACACTATGGCCCCTTCAAGGACCCTGGGGGACAAAAAAAGCCAAGCGCTTTTATATGGTGTGGGACTCAGTACCGCCAGTGTTATCAACCATAATAGCACCGCCACAGTTCAATAGCCACCCGGATGACATGCTAGCCTCACCCAAGCAAAACCCAGGCGACCACCTGCAAGATACATCAGCTGTCAATCATCTCCGCTCAACCGTATATAATTACAGAGGCTAGGGAATCATTCCTCCACTTGTATTTGCTCAACATAAAGATGGAGAATGCTTGCACAAAAGCACGAGGTATGTTTCTAACAAAGGGAATTATAGCAGTTTGACATCGGCATATTCATTCTGATAGGATAATTGCTTTGAAACTTGGAGAAATAAAGCCTCGTCTGGCTGCTTTGTTGACAGGCTTCCTGTGCGAAAATGGCTGATTTTTGTTGCTTGACAGGAGAGCAGGGCTTCTCTCCTGATGTCTGTATTAGTCTCAGTAACAGATGGTGCTGAGTTAAGGATCTGCCATCGCAAGGGTTTGCAGACTCCTCTTGTTTCTAGCCAGCGGCGTCAGCCGTGAGCCGGGCTTGTGTGAGGTAGTGACTGATCTTTTCTCCAGGCGGAGAAGAAAGCATCAATCATCAGGTCATGCTGTGGAGAGCACCTCCACAAACGCTGCTCCACAAGAGGTTGGATTTGGTCAAGCTGTGACCGGTAGGATTGGTGATTAGTTTCACCGTCTTCTGCTCTGATCTCTTTTGGGATTGGTCAGTGGAGAGACTGTGGAGGTTGAGGATAATGTCTTTGTTATAAATGGACCCAGAGTTAACTGATTTGACCTTTTATTGAAAGTATTGAGTGACTGAGTAATGAGTTAATGTACGTCACCACGTGTTACCGATTCATTTGGCTGATTTGTTTCACTTTAAGTCAGGTGTTTTGATGCAAGAATGAATGTGAGGACAGTTATAATAAATTCCATTTTTTATTTCAATACCTATAGCACAACTCTGAAGAGTTTAATAAAGAAGTTAATGTACTTGTCTTTTTGAGCATTTAATTAACGTACAAAGTCATCCCACTATTTTTCTTTTTTCTTTTTTATTGCTATAAGTGGATTTGGTTTGATGGAATAAATGGGAGCTGTGTAACCATGGCGATATAGATTTATGGTGAACTTGGTTAGTTTCATGTTAACACAAATTAAAGTGTGGTGGTTCATTTTCCACATCAATTATAGTGGCTGCAAGGCAGTGCTGTATTGATATTTCTCAATCATTCTCTACTGGTTTGTACTAAAGCTTTAACTCTAAGTATTAAACTTCCCCAATTAATTCAGGCAGAATCATTCAAACTTTTCTTCTACATACTAAAAATCTGTTCTGGGTCTTCACCTTTACAGACACGGCTCCTTTTTTTAATCTCATTTTTACCTTTTAGTTTTCTTTTCATTTGTCTATGCTTGGTCATTTTTTATTTATTTATTTATTTTTATTTTTATTTCTTTGCCAGGAATAAATTAGGAATAAAATCCCCTTGTTGTTGGATTTGTTCAGGCCTTATTTCTTAGTAAGTATAAAGTTCACAAAATAGATGTCAAACTGAGGCCTGAACAAATCCAACAACAATGGCATTTTATTCCTAATTTATTCCTGTGATTGTAAAGCTGAATTCTCATCATCATTACTCCAGTCTTCAATGTCACGTGATCCTTCAGAAATCATTCTACTATGCTGATTTGCTGCTCAAGAAACCTTTATTATTATTAATGTTAAATAATATTATATTATCAATGTAAAAAAAACAGTTGTGCTGCTTAATATTTTTTATGAAAACTTTGAAACTGTGAATTCTTTGATGAAAAAGGGAAATCTTTCTGAACATACATTTATTTATTTATTTACTTATTCATTCATTCATTCAAAGATAAAAATGTTTAACAGGTCTTTAATTGCTAATAGAAATACAGTTAAACATGGACTGCGTATTTTAATATGCATTCCTCTATGAATATATGTTAACTGATCAGTTTGAATTTTTGCATTAATTTGCTAATTATTTTTAATTACAAATTAGTCAATGTTATTTCCAAAAAATATAAGTTATTCCATACTGATCCCAGACTTTTAAGTGTAGACCCATTCTAATTCACCAAGAAGTGACATTTCTTTGTAATTCGTTTCAAACTGGTCGCTCTAAAATTGGTCACACAATCATTTGGGTGAACGGTTCCTCCATAAATAATGTCCTGGGTTACTATTTAAGTCTTGTGCCAGCTGCAGTGGGGGTGGAGGTTGGAGAAGCATTACCTGAGAGAGGTTAGGAATCATCCTCTCCACTCATGCAGAGCACGCTTTTAATTAGATTACCCAGGCATCCATGCACAGCCGTGAGGAATTGGACACACTCTGTCAGGTCACAGTGGCTCAATGTGGGGCTGGACTGCTTGTCCGCTCTCTTGAATCACTGGATGAGTCTTGTGCTTGAGAAACTAGAAGGAAACTTGCAAAATTGCTTGCTTCCGTAACGGTGGTGCAAATATATATATAGTTAATTTTGTTGATTGCCGAATAACTTTACTTCAGGATTCTAAATAATTATTTTATTTTATTTTAGTGTGTGTGTGTGTGTGTGTGTTTGTTTAGTGTTTTATGTTTTGTTTTGTGTTTTAGAATTTGTTTTGGTTTTGTGTTGTTTTGCACCCACTATGGGCATGAATAATTATAGTAATTTGAATATTTCTGTGATTTATTTATATTAATTACTTGTTTTTCTGGTCAAGTTTAGCAGCTTCTTGTATTCTGATCTTGTGATTAATTGTGTTTTTATTGAGTTTTACCCTACAATATTTCTGATAGGAAACATTGGCTAAATTACACAATACTGTCTAATATACACTGTTTTTATAAGTAAAACTGAAGTCATTGTATAGTTACCTTATCTAAGTAGTCAACTGATCAAAGTTCAGTCAAGAAATGTACTTAAGTAAATAACTTTAGCTAAGAAAACATCCTGTGAAACCTCCTTTTTACACAGAGCACTTTGCAAGACAACACAGATTAGAATTTAATAAAGAATATTTGTTGTGTATTAAACATCTCTCAGCAGTAAGCAGACCAGACATTGTTAATTTAGTCTGTATTTTTCATATGAGGCAGTACAAATATGGCAGGATGTTTTCGCGTTGAATTTGTTTTTGTTAAATTTCAACAAAAAAAGCACTATAATGAGAGAACTGTTTGTTAGCGGAGAAGAGGAACAATCTGTCCCAGCTTGCGTCTGGGTAGAGGATATTGAAGGTGTCATGTGGCAATGATCAACTTGTGCAAATTCATTATGGTGGATAAAGAGGAAAAAAGTGCAATTAAATGATTTATAGTCTCTGGAGGCTCTTGGCTCACTTTTACACTTCAATTAATTTTGTTTTGAAGATTGAGAGAATGGGCAGGCCTGCTGTGTTTCTCCTATAACATCACAGAGTGAGCTTTGGCATGCTGATGGGCCTGAGAGCTCTTAAAGTTTCCAAGTTACAAGATAACGATGTGTTTCTCTTTGTGCCTTCCACGTGCCGTGACGGGTAAGAAATAAGCGAAGCCGAGCTGCCAGAGCACCTTAGCAGCGCTTCATTTCTCTCTCTCATGTTTAACCGTCTGTTGCTAATTTACTTTCTCTCCCGGCAATCCTTTTTTAATAGTGCATCCGTTTGTTCAGCAGACAATTGATTCCCTGCACTGCCATATTCATCAGTTACATTAACTGAAGCTTGTCCGGAATATGAATTATGGAGGCCGTCTCTCCGTTTCTGTCCCTCGTTTCTAGCTGCAGCTTCACGTCAATAGACCATGTAAATACCTTTGAGGAAAACAAATGTTAACCTAAAGTCAACAATGTGCTAATTACGCTAATGATAATGAGGCTCGCGCATATTCATCAATGCTTTGTTAAGTGTCGTCTTGTCGTTGGGCCGTGAGAAGAGCCTTCAAATCCTTGACACATTTATTGATGTTTCCTTGCTGTTTTGTCTGCTTCGACACAGGGACTTTGACAGCTTGTCCGATCTCACGGAAGATTCCAAGGTCAGGTACATCGCTCAGCGTTGGGAGGAGCTCGGATTAAAAGACGTCCAGGTAACCAATCACACGGCTCTCCTGAGCTATCCCGGACCCGCCCTCAGCACGATCACAGATATAAGCGGAAACCAGTGTTACCTGCCCAGCGGAGCGAGGTGTGACCAGCCATTCGCATCCACGACTGAACCATTTGCCTTTGCAGCCTATTCGGCTGTGGGAAATCTAGTGGTAAGTTACATGTATACTGTTGTACTCAAGTGTATACTCAAGCGATCAATAACACATGGTCACGATTGCGTTTGACTTAAGATACAAAACAAAACGCATAAGGATCACAACCTTTTATGTTGTATTTTTTTGCAAAATTCCCAAAACAATGCTGTGTGCAGGGTATACATGTGCTGTGTGCAGCGCTTGTTGTTTGTGTATACATGTGGTATTTGAACCAGCTTATAACTCACAAAGAGCTTATAAAATATGTAAAGGAGTCAAAACAGCACCAGGAGTTGCACACACAAACAAGATCTGCTGCAAGGAAGCGACGGTTCTGACGCCGGTACCAAACTGTACTGGGCAATATTACTTCTATGACAAGGTGTGCTTGAGCATTTTGTCCTTTAGGGTCACATCTTGTTTCATTTAGATGTCTTTGGTTCAAAACGTGAAAAGGTGGGTCTCAGGCTGCTTGTTTGGTGCGCACTAAGGTTTGAATGGCAGTGTTCACACTTGACTTGCACACATAAACTGCACCTGCCAAGTGTAAACAAACCCTTAAATGCATTAGATTATGCAAACCAAACCTAAAATGGGTCATTTGCAGATGTTACTTCAAAGCTCTATTTATGATCTAACCCATAATTATTTTTTTCAGTGTAACCTAATTTGCCTGAATTTTGTTTAAGAAATGAATACTTTAATTCAGTTGAAAACTAAAAGAGAAGTTTAGCAAAATGTCCAAGCTGTCCATGTGACATCAGTGGTTCAAACGTAATGTTATGAAGCTACAACAGTCTATCTTTAGAGTCCTTACGTTCCTACTTCAATTAGGGAACAGTTTGAAAATAAAAATAAAGACTTTTCACAATGCGATCGATTTCCAGGTGGATCATTACCGTGAATCCTCATAATTTATACAGAAAACGTAACACGGGTGGAGGTCGGAATAAGCATCTAAATTGAGCTATCCAAAATCTGGACTATTTTGATTGATTTTTTAAATTGGCAAAAAAAAAAAAAAAAAGTAAAGGCATTTATTATGTTTTAATAATACAAAAAAATAGTTTAGTTATAATTAAATTCTGTTCTTTTGAACATTTTCTTTGTCAAATAAAAAAAGTATCATGGTTTTCACAAAAAAATTATAAGCAGCGCAATAGTTTCCAACACTGATAATAAGAAGAAATATTATCTAATATCAGATATTAGAATGATTTCCGAAGGATCATGTGACTTTGAAGACTGGAGTAATGATGCTGAAATTTCAGTTTTTCATCAGAAGACTAAATTACATTTTTTAAGATATTAAAATGGAAAATATTCATTTTAAAATGGTAATAATATGTCACAGTATGTGAATCATTTTACTTTATTTTTGATCAAATAAATGTAGCCTTACAGAGCATAAGGTTAATGTATGTTTCAGTAGCTTGGTTTCTTTATTTACCCCAACCCCACCAATGAAAATGATTTTAAAAAAGTCAAAACTTTGCAAGTCGTCAAGCAGCACATGGACTGAAACAGAGTATGTTAGTGGAACAGCATCTGTTTTAATGCTCAAAGAACTCTGTAATCACACCTGCTCCATTCCTGGTTTTCCATTTCCCGCTCATTGGTGAGTGAAACCCTGATCCAAGCACCACCCAACCCAACCACCCCACACTACAAGTTAAACTTCCACATTTTTGATCGTCATGCTAGGTAAAAATCCCTGCTCTATTCCACTTCACACTACTCAAATACTTTGGTCTGAAACATCATGGAAATAAATGTTAGTCACAATAAATATCAGCACTAGAATGCCACTCAGCCAATCCATTTTGAGGACTTGAACTAACTGTTTTATCATTTTTAATAGAGTAACAAGAATCATGGAACACAAAGTTGCTTGTTGACCTTGTTGTTGTATTATTGACTGTACTGTACAATAAATGCATTGCATTGCCAGTTGCAGCTGAATTAGCGTTCTGCTTTCACACTCTCACTTTCACAGCCCTGAACGCTTCATCCTGTTGGAAGGTTAAAACAAATCCGTTCTGCAAGACTGAACCCATTTCACACGTGTGTGATATATTCTCCAGCTATTTTTAGAGATTATGCTTTCTGTCTCTAAAGGGAACAGGAAATGTCTAAGGAAGATGCATTGCCATTATCCGTTTCAAGACAGACACACTGCATCTAACAGGGATAAGCTTCAGTAAAAAGTTATTGGAGTAAGTCACGGCCAGTCTTTCATGTCGTCCTCTACAAGGGGGGTCAAAGTCATCCATCAAAACGCTACACATACTCAAGGCTCTGATGTAAATTAAACTGCATTTGCAATGTCTAAAAATCAGCAGGGAAAAACAAATATGACTGGCTTGATGGATGAAATGCTCGGGGATCTCGTGCCGAGGCGTTAAGAGATTCATCCAGCTATCCTGAGCCGCTCATGGGTCACTGGCCATTTCACATTATGTACTTTTACCAACTCCCAGCTCCACAGCTGAGCTAAACAATTCACCATCTTTTCCACTGAAAACATAGAGATGCAGGGCGTTATCACAGTCACATATCCACAGACAGCTGTGATCTGCAGAGCAGTATAACTAATTATGCCAATTATAAAGTAATAATGAACCACTGAAAATATGTATAGTCAAGCCCTATTTTAGGAATGTGTCATGATAGATTTCATTTAAATTTATTGTTTTTCCCAAGTAAATTGAGTAAAATCAAAGAAGCATTAAATTAAAGGTTTAATAGTTGAGTTGTGAATAAAATTGGTTAATTTGAGTCTTCTACACTTATTATTCTGCTATTAATTACACTTATTTTATTTTACTTGGAATAACATGCACTGATAATTCATGCACAATAATACCAGGAATGTGTGTAATTTCTACAAATGCACAACTTCTATTTTTTTCTCTCCCAAAACAAATTATGTGTTTGTTAGCATAGATATTGACATCTTCATTGAGTCAACCATGTGGAAACAGATAATTATCAATCAAATGGTGCTGAAAATGTTCACTTGTACCAACAAAGAATGCCCTTTTTTATACCACAGCGCAATCAGCAAAGCAATCATATTGTGTGTTTTCATTTCTTTAAGGAATCTATAAATGTCACTTTGTCCCCAGCATTTTGCTTAATTCAAAGAGCCAAATCATTTGAAGTCTAAACAAGAAACAAACACAGAAAACTGCAGGTAATTTGATAGCTTGAGGTAATTAGAGTGGAGGCTTTACCTCTGGTCAGTAATAAGTTTGAGGGGGCTCCCGAGGGTAATTAGTTATGATGAGTTAAATCCTCCATGCTCCCTGGCTATTTCTCTCCACACCATATTAGTGATGATCAGGTGCAGGCGCTGGGCAATTACTGCCTTTAATTTCTCTACGAAGAAAGTGAGGTCAGGTAGTGAGAATTAAAGTTCCTCTTCTTTTCTTTTGTGTTTCTGGCCTACTCACAGACATGGGTCTTCTACTTTTTCTTTGAGCCAAACACCCATTTTATACAAAAATGAGTGTTGCAGTTTTATCATTGACCTATATTAACATATATCATATTCATGCATTTTGCTTCCCTTTAATGCTTACAATGCAAAGCCATTAAAATGGTGGTTCTTAATCTTTTTGGCTCCCCCAATTGCCTACAGTAATATTCAAATGGCACAACAACTTTTCTGTAAATTAAATGCAGGATTCCAGAAGTTTACATAGCTGAATATTTTTAACAAATTAATTTACAGGACTTTTCTAGTGATTTATGATTTACAGAATAACATTTATGCATGTATGTATGTATTCATTCATTCATTCACTATTTCAATTAATTCAATGAAAAATAAAAAAAAAGTCATCTTGAGCCCCCCCTTGCTGATGCCTCCTTGTGGCTCTCGGCCATTTAAATGAGAACCACTGCATATACTTGTACATTAATTTTTAATTATACTTTTTAATTAAAATTTTGAGCAGGGGACTTCATCTTCTTCACTATAGCTTTGGTTGAAGAGCTGATATATGTTTTTTTCCCACAAAAAAACCCCTTTGAAATCAAACAACAATTGGTTGACACCCTGCAGCGTTGTCACACACCCGCCCTTCATTAAGCCTTTTTTGGATAAATAAAGAATTGCATAGATCTCTAAAATTGGTCATTGTTTTAGAACATATGAGCTGCACAGAGTATTTGATGTTGTAGCTGATGTATGAAGAAGCGTAGAGAGAGAGAAAAAATCCCTGCTCTATATGCGCTCCATGAAACGCCTTGTTCTGAGTGTTTCCTTTGATACATGAGCTATACTGTTGGGAGTGGTCATTTGTATTCATTTAACATTGATAGTGTTATTTAAAAAGTAAAGCGGTAAAATTATGAAACGTTTCTGCAACACCTAGACAAAGCCGGTGTGTTAACATAGTTCGAATTGTAATCTTACATGGATATTTACAAAAAGTTCAACCAGATGGACACAAGAAGGGCTATTTGAATTGCTTTGAAATTTCAAGAGCTTCTCACTGTAATAATGCTTCACAGCCTCTCGCAAAATGAAAAATGAACTGAGCGTTGAAGAAGTGGCAAATTTTTATTCACAGAGGACATGCAGTCTGGCCTCTAATGGGGCCGCGCGATTGGGGTGGTATTTAACATTCTCCTCAAAATAAAGTTTAATTACGGGGTGGGTATTTCTTTCCACTCCTCAATCACGTAGATGTGAAAACAATTGTTATTTTCCTCTAGCTGCTTCAAGTCGCCGGGGGTGAGATGACTCGTGAAAGGAGCCGTCGCTCGTCTAGAAAATGTGATTTGTTCACCGCAATGCGTGCCCTCGTTAATTTCATTACCTTAATGACAGCCTCTCAGTGCAAATCTCATCCATTCCCAATTTTCTGCCTCTTCTTTGGGGTTAGACGGAACACTTTGCTAATGCAAATGCAGACATTAGTGATAAATACCATCTTTCAATGGTCTTGTGGTTTCGTGATACCGACTAGATGTACTCTCCTGCCCGGAATCATGTTTCATTTCCCCCTAGGCCCAAAGAAAAATGAATCAAACTCAGGTAATGCATTTCCACTTTGTGTCTCCGGGCCTTAAATAGCATTTAGTTTGACCCCACCTCATCAACCCTCATCAGTCCGAGGCACTCGCTTTTCTTAAACTCACAAACCGGGTTCTGGTTTACTAGTGCAGACTAAATGACAAAAAGGATGCCACGGCCTGTAGCTGCCATGAATCTGCCTTGAATTCTTTCAGAGCTGTGACATCTATGCCACGTCTGTGCGTGATTTATAGTGCGGAGGCTAATATATGTACTTGTCCCCCATTATACACAGCCTGAGATGTTCACTTTGTTTTCACTCATCCTTTGCTATCTGTAATGAATGTGACAACTAGCTTTATGGGGTGAGTTATGTGTGTCACAACATTGCAAATCAGAGGCTTGTTATTCCTCACACACACACGACGAAAGAGGTCAGACTCTACCCTGAACCATTTTAAAATTGTAAATGTTTAAAAAAATAATCTTTTTTTCAGGCAGAGGTGGTGGACATTCAGTATGGGAGTCCAGAGGATTTGAGACGGGTCCAAGCAAATGTGACCAATAAAATAGCACTGCTGAAACTTGGACAATCACCTTTGCTGTACAAGGTATGTTGTTATATTAATGTTAATCTATCTATCTATCTATCTATCTATCTATCTATCTATTAGGGCTGGGTTTTGACAATATTTTCACGATTCAATTCGATTCTCATTCACAAGCTTGCAATTCGATTCTCATTCACAAGCTTGCGATTCGATTCGATTACCGATTCGATTAGATTCAATATAGATTATTATATATCAGGTACAGCACATGCCACATTTTCTCAAGGAAAAAAAATCTCTCAGCTAAAATATACATGAGAGTCAGTTGGTACTACATTACTATAATATTGAAGTTTAAAACTGATTTGTTAAAATTACACTTAAAGGCAGAGTAAGTGATTTCTGGTAGCCAATGTTGATATTTGAAATCACCAAAACAAACACGCCCCTACCCCA